CCCAACCCACCTTCCCCGGCACGTCCCATCTTTCTCTCCGTTTCCATGACAACGCACTTTTCTCTCTCCCTCTCTGTCCATCCCATATCTCCTCCCTGGGTCCATCAACATCTGGACTTGCCACCCCTCTCTCCGTTCTTCCAGCTCTTCCTCTCCAAAACCTCTTCTCCCTTTCCATGTGACCTTGCCCCTCTCCCAAGGCAGCTGGAGTCTGGGATGGCTCACGGCCTCCACGTGATGCCTTGCAGCACACGGTGGCCTTGGAGGAAGAGAGGCTGCAGAACACCTTTGAGGAGCTGGAGAAGTTCCTGCAGGAGCAGAAGAAGGTCCTGCTGGCCCAGCTTGGCCCAGTGTCCCAGGAGCTCCTCAAGAGTCGCTCCGAATACAACTCCCGTGTGGCAGAGAGGGAATCGCTGCTGGACGCGCTGATTGCGGACATCGAGAAGAAACGGGACCAGCCGGAGGTGGAATTCCTCATGGTGAGGCTGCACCACCCACCTGGGCCTGTGGCCCCGTGGTGAGGCTGGGGGGCACCCACCCGGCACCCTGCCCGTCCCGGTGCAGCCCGGAGCCTGGGAGCGGTGCCAGGCTGTGACAGCACTGTGGCTGGTGCGGGTCGGGGGCTGCAGCGTTCCCTGAGGGAAGGGGAGGGTTGGGATGAGGTGTGGAGCGACCCCCTCCCCGATCCCCATCACCCACCTCACACAGCGACTGTCCCTCCCTGCCCCGAGCACCGCGGTCCTTGTGGGCACTGCCAGAGCTCACCCCTGTGTTCTCTCTTCCAGGATGTTGGCAAAGTCCTGAGCAGGTACGAAACGGGCTCAGCATCGCTCTCCTCCCGCACGGCTCTTCTGGGCAGAGGTTTGGGAATGCTGCAGGAGCCGGGAGGGAGGTGGTTTGCCCTGCTGAGAGTTTGGGATTTAACGTGGTGTTCCTGGGAACCAGAGGCTGTTGCTCCCCTCTTAAAGGCGGGGTTCCCGTGCTGGTAGCTGGGGCTCAGCTCCTGGGTTCTGTGGCTGGGGGGATTTCCCCCAGTTTCCCTGCAGGGTGCTGGCTGGTGGCCGGGCTCAGAGCTCCTCTCTGTGTTGTTCCCCCTCAGCTGTGAGGCAGCCAAGGCCCCGATCCCGGAGGCGGTTTCCCCGGAGCTGCAAAGGACTGTTGAGACCCTCTCTGAGACGTGCCAGCTGGTCCTGGGCACAGTGGCCAAATTCAAAGGTAAAGCACTGCTGGCTCCGTGCTCTACTTCCCCTGGGCTTGGCTGGCAGTAGGAGATCCTCACTGCCTGGTGCCTCTGCTCTGGGGTTTGGGAGCAAAACACGCCTGCTCCCGATGGGAACCATCTCCAAGATAGGCTTCACTGGAGCCTGGGGCTCTGAGAGCCCATGCCTGGCTTGCTGTCCTCATGGGGAGTGGGAAAGGTGCCACAGGAGGAGAGACTCACGCATCTTCCTTTCCTTCTTCCAGAAAACCTGCTGAGCAACATAGACAGGGAAAGGGGTAAGTTTCTGGAGCTGATGGGCACAAATGAGGGAGAAAAGCTTCCCAGGATGAGTATCCTCATGTCCTTGGCACAGAGATAGGCTCACGCCACAACATCTAAAACCAGCGTCTGTCTGGAACTGTGTCCTGTTGTTTTGACTAGGCCTGCTGTGAAATTCCTGCTCTGTCCCTGTGCCAGGCAGTGCCACTGACACTGTCCTGCGACTCAGAGCGAGGGCCAGGGCAGCACGAGCTGTGTGGGGCTGTGAGCAGTCGAGCAGAGGGGCTGTACGTGTTTCCAGCTGGCATTTACAAGTGCCCTCTCAGTTTTCGGGGTGAGGGACTTGAGCACAGGACAGTTGTGCCTCAGTTCCCCCCACGCTGCAGTCCCCGGAGGAGTGGGTTTAGCAGAGGGCCCGGGGTGGTGACACTGCGTGGTGACACCTGTGTGGCCCTGTGGGATGGCCACGGGATGGCAGCAGAACATCCCACATGGATGGGCAGCTCCAGCTCGGGAGGGAGGTTGCCCTGCCTGGTTACTCGCAGGGCAGGGTTGGGAGCTGGTTTTCCCTTCGGTGAGCACTTGCCAGCCTTGTCACAGGAGCAGGGACTGGCCTGGCCCCACTGCTGCCTGGATAACACCCACGGGATATCTGCTCCCCACTGCCAGCCTGGCTGTGGAGCCAGCAATACCCAGCAGACCTGGAAGCAGGTTTAGCAAAGTCCATTGAGTCCGTCCCCTGCACGTGGGGACACTGGCTCAGTCCCAGAGGGGAGGGCAGGGAGGGTCCCGTGCCCTGTGCCCCCCGAGTGGGCTGCAGGAGTGCCCACTGAGCTCCCAGGAGCACGGGAGGGAGAGGTGCTGGTTCTCTCCTCAGCGGGCACAGACTGACCTTTCTCTCTGTCGTCCATTAGAGAAGGTGACGCTGGACCCAGAGACAGCGAGTCCTTTCCTGCTGCTCTCTGCAGACCACAGAACCCTGCGCCTGGCAGAGGGATTCCAAAACCTCCCCGACACCCCCCAGAGATTCACGGACAGCCCCAGCGTGCTGGGCTCCCGGGGGTTCACGGCTGGCAGGCATTACTGGGAGCTGGAGGTCGGGAAGGGGCACAGCTGGGCCGTGGGGGTGGCCCTGGAGTCCGTGCAGAGGAAGGACTCGCTCAGCATTGCCCTGGGCAAGATCTGGGCCCTGCGGCTGGACTGGGATGGTCAGTACACGGCGCTCCACGGGCTGCCCGCCCTGCTGGCACTGCAGGAAAAGCCCCGGAGAATCAGGGTCCACCTGGACTACGAAGGGGGCCAAGTGACCTTCTACAACACAGAGAACATGGTGCAGATCTTGCAGTTCAAGACCTCCTTCACCGAGAAGGTCTTCCCGTACTTTTGGCTCTGGTCAGCAGACACCTTCATCCGCCTGTGTGACTGATGGGGTCGGGTGCCTCCCACTGCCCTGCCGTGCCCTGGGCTGGCTGAGCAGGCAGGAAGCCTGGCAGTGACACAGCAGCACGCTGCAAACTCGCCACAGCTCTGCCTGGGCTGGGTCTGCTCTGTGCGTTGCTGCATCTCCTCCTTCTGAGCCCTCTGGAGCATTAAAGACGTGCTGTCCTGCCTGGGGGTGTCTGCATGCTGGTGTCCTGGCTAGATCCCGTGGTGGCAGTGTCCTACCTGTCCCTGTGGGCACTGAGGACACAGGAGTGATCAGCAGGGAGGCAGGGAAGGCTCTGATTGCCCATGTGGGTCTTTGGCAGCGCTTCATGGCTGGTAGCAGGGCTTGGTGTGGGGTGATGTGTTGTAGGGTGCAGCCACCCCACACCCAGGAAGTCAGGGTGGAGCCACGAGCCGATAGTAGTAGCTGAAAACCCTTGCAAAAACGGTTTCTAGAAAAGAAAATGTTCAGGGAGGGGGCAGGGCAGACTGGAGAGCTGGAGCGAGGGCACAGCCTGGGCCTCTCCAGGCTGGCAGAGCAGCAGGAGTGTGATGGGGATCTGTGAGACCCCGGGAGGTCAGGGCAGGAGCAAACACCACACTGTGTAACCCAGGAACTGGGAACATCGTGTGACTGGTGGGTGGCAGGGCCCGGGCAGAGGAGTGGGATCCCCCGGATCCAACATGATCAGCTGGAGACAGCAGCCCCTGAATCCACCAGGGAGATCTGGCAGAGGATCTGCCAGGGACTCGACAGCAGGGATCTGCAATCCCTGAGCTGAGGAGAACCCACACGACCCGCTGGGGCCACTCTGTCCCGAGCACGTCACTGAATCACCACCTGTAAAGTGGGACCAACGTGCTCTGGAGCTGGGATGGCTCCCCCACCCCTGCAGAGCCATGGAAGGAGCTCCCTCCTTCCCACGGCACAACCATCGCTGCCTCCATCCTGCTCCATGGCTGTCGAGGGGGCAAACACGGCAGGGTTTTGCACTGGTGATGTGGGAAGGGCTCCTTGTTTCGCTGATACCCATTACCTGCTGAGTTTGTGCCCTTTTCCCCTCGTTTTCCCCAGATTTCCCCCCTTCCCCTCAGTCCCACGGCAGATGGAGGCAAGGCGAGGCAATGGGTCCTCTGAAAAACTGTGTGTGTGTGTGTGTGTGTGTGTGTGTGTGTGTGTGTCCATTTTTAAGGCAAATAGCAACACATGGGTAAACACCACACTCACTTGTGCCCTTTTCCCCTAATTTTTCCCTATTTTCCCACCTCTTCCCCTCAGTCCCAGGGCAAGTCAGGGCAAGTCAAGGCAAGGCAAGGCAAGGCAAGGCAAGGCAATGGGTCTGCTGTAAAGCTGGGGGTGTGTCCATTTTTAAGGCAAATGGCACTTTGGGTAAATGCCACACTTACTTCTGCCCTTTTCCCCCTCATTTTTTCCATATTTTTCCCCCTTCCCCTTAGTCTCTGGGCAGGTCAAGGCAGGCCAAGGCAATGGTTCTGCTGTAATGCTGGAGGTGTGTCCCTTTTTAAGGCAAATAACAACACTTTGGGTAAACACAACACTCCCTTTTGTCTTTTTCCCCCCCTCATTTTTTCCATATTTTTCCCCCTTCCTCTCAGCCCAGAACAGGCCAAGGCAATAGCTCTGCCGTAAAGCTGGGTGTGTATCTATTTTTAAGGCAAATAGCAACACTTTCGCCCTTTTTCCCTCGTTTTTCCCAGTTATCCCGCCCCTTCCCCTCCCGTCCCCGGCCGAAAGGAGGCAGCCGGAAACATGGCGGCAAAGCGGCGCCTCGGCGAGGCTGAGGACTACATTTCCCAGCACACAACGCGCAGGGCAGAAACGCATTCCTCCCTTTGGGAATGCCGGGAAATGTAGTCCTCCCTCCACCCCTACTCTCTCGCCCTTCCATTGGTCCGAAGGCACGTCGATCACGGGCGGTGGGCGGGGCCCGGCCCCTGCGCGGCCGTTCCTACTGGTGGGAGCGCGCGCGGTGGGAGGGGGGGTTTGAAAAAAAACAACCCGCCCCCCGTCGCGCGCCGCGCGCTGATTGGCTGAGCCGCCGTTTGGCGCCAGCTTCGGAGAGGCCGACGGGTACCGGCTGGGGTCAAAGCGCTGCGGCGGCCGCGCTGACGGGAGCGCTTCGCTGTCTTCTCCTCTGCCCGGTCCCGTTCCCGGTCCAGCTCCTATGGATCTCGCGCCCGCCGCTCTCCACCGCCGCCGCCGCCTCTCGCTCGCCTCGCCGACGTCCCCCGCCTCGCCCGCCGTGGTCAAGGCGCTCTTCCAGGACGAGCTTTCGCCCGTCTCCGACCTCCGCCTCAGCATGGAGCAGCTTGGGCGCGGGTGAGTCGGGGCAGGGGGGGGCCCTCTGAGGGCAGGCCCTGGGAACCCCCCCTTTTTATCATGAGAACCCCTCCAAAAAAAAAAAAAAGGGAGGCTCGAGGGTTCATCTCCCCCCTTCTTCCTTCTATACTAAGGCACCCCCTTTCCCCCCGCCCGTCCGGGGCCTTTTCTCCCCCCCTTCCAGGGCCTTTTCTCCCCCTCCTGGACCCGAAGCGAGGCCGGGGGGGGCTCCCCCCCATGTAAAAAAAAAGCTCAAGGCCTCCAGGAGTCGTTTTCCTTCGGTTCCGTTCTCTCCCCCGCACTGGAGCCTTGTGGAGCTTCCCGCCTCCCGGTCCTTTGCTCCCCCCAAACCCTCAGGGGTGGCTCTGAACACCCCCTCCCAACTCCCAAACCCTCAGGGGTGTCTTTACACCCAGAGCCCCAAGGATGTCTTTTATAACCCCCCTCTCTCTCAAACTCTCCCGATGTCTTTTACCTTTGCTCGGCCCCCTCTTCCAAAAAAACCCCAAACCCAAACCCCTTTCGGGGATGTCCTTTACCCCCCAAATCCCAACTGCAAGGCCTCGAGGAATTGGAATTCATCTCCTTCCCTCTCCTTCCAAGAACAAGGCCTCGGGGAGCTCATCCGCCCTCCCCCCCCCCAAAAATAAAAAAAGTGAGGCCTCGTGGATTTCTCCTTCTTTTCCTTCCCCACCCCGAATCGAGGCCTTGGGGGTCTCTTCATTCCCTTCTCCCTCCAGAAATGAGACACTGAGGGCCTTATCCTGCTTCCTCTCCTTCCAAACGCCCCCACGGCCCAAACCCGAGGCCTCCAGCCCCTCTTTTCCCAACCCTCCCCCCAAAAAAGGGGACCTGGAGGAGCTGTTTGTCCCCACCCCCCACCCGTGACTCCTCGAGAGGTTTTATCCCCCCCACCAGGAAAACTTCCATGATTCCCTAAACACCCCCCTCCCCATGCCCGATGCCTCCACCTCCCCCATCCCCCGTGGATCCAGTGCCCTGGGCCACCTTCCCCCTCCCGTGTCCCACCCTGGCCCTGCTCTGGGCGTCCACCTCCCTCCCGAGCCCCTCCCTGGGCTTCCCCTTCTCCCACCAACACCTTTGTGCCCACTTGTCGTGCCTTCCCTGCACCATCTCAGCTCTGTCCTTCCTCCCTCACCCTGTTCCCACACCTTCCTCCTCCTCTTGTACTCCCAGAGCTCCAGCCATGCAGTTGCTCCATCCAATTTTGCTCTTTCTGATCTCCTTTAATCCCGTTATTCCCCCAGTTTCCCTCCCGAGTGGCTCCTGTTTTGCCCTGGCCCACTCTGGTCTTGGTGACCCTCCTGGTTTTGTGTTTGTTGCTCTTCCATTATTCTGGTTTTCTGCAATCACCTGCTTTAGGATCCTTCCCTCCTTCAGATTCCTGGGATTCCTGCAGACCATTGGCAGTGCCCTCCATGTAAATTATTCAAGTAGCTTTTCTTTATTTATATCCATATGGTTTTCTTATCTCCCAGCGCTGAGCTTTAGTGGATACAACAAAATGTGGGAGTCAACTCCTTGTAAAAATGGGTTTGAATTAGAAGTTTGGCATTTTTTCCTGTGCAAGATCCAAATTAAAGGAGTGGCTGCCAGAGAGAGGGTTGCACTTCCAGCTGGGCTCTGATAGAACTCCCTGGAGTGTGGTTTGGGAGGTGCTAATGCGATTCCAGGCACCAAGAACCAGAAGTTTCGTGGCCAAGTCTGTGATTCTGAGGTATCAAAACCTTCCTCTGTGAGGGCACAGGCTCTAAAAGAACGTTTTGAACCCCCCAGAGCTGATGTGAACGGAGAAATGTTTGGTGTGAGGAGACCAGGAAGGCAACCAGGATAACTGCTGTGTTAAATGACACTTCCCCTGCCTCAGAAGCCAGATTTCCAATATTTTCAAACCCAAACCATGAAGCTTCAGGCCCTGTGGGTGTTGGATCTGATCCCGTGGTGATACTGTCCCTGTTCTCAGCAGCACCCAGAGCACAGGACAGTGCTCTGCAGGTTTTCCAAGTGGGAATCCCCTCACCTGGCTGATGATAAAGGTTCCAGGTGATGATCACCAGGCTGTATTTGTTGCCTCACAGAGCTTTTAAGCCAAATCCCAAACTTCCCTTTACAGGCAGCGGGAAAACACGGAGCAAGACCTGGGGAACAAGAATGGATTGCAGAGATCTTCATCCTCAGAATCCACAGACTCAGGTATGGCCTTCCCAGTTAATAATTAACAATTAAGGAGTGAAAAGCAGCTGCCAGGGTTTGGATAGAGAGCCTTCCCTGCCTGCAGTCCCACCGTTCCTGGGGTGGCTCGTGGATGTTGGTGTGGAAAACAGGGAGAAGGTGTTGGGATCCCATCTCTCCTGTGGAGCTCCTGCCCTTTGGGGGGTGATGAAGGCGAGTCCCCACCATCTGTTTTCTCTCTCTAAACCCAAACTGGGCCAGCCTGCCCCAGTCGAGTGGGTTTGCCTTGTGGTTTGGGGCTGTGGGTTTGTTGTTTTTTTTTTTTTGTTACCAAGAGCTGGTTGTTTATCTGAAACACTTCGGCTCTGATGCTTGCCTAGAGAGATTTCCTTTGTTTCAGGTGAGAAGCTTTATCAGTAAAAACGAAACAAGCTCTTACCCCGTAACTTGCAGACACAGAGAAGCTCTGGCACCTCATTGCTCCAGCTCAGGGAAATCAGCGTTTCCACCTGAATTTACGCCCCACTTTGAAGGCACTTTTAGCCTAGAAATGAACTTTATGAGCTTCTGAAACAAAAGTCCAGCTCACAAAGCTCAGAGCAGGATAGAACAACCAGCCTTGTTAAATCCTCCCTCTCTCCAGCTCCTCAGGAATCTGTGTCTGAGTAACTTTGCAGCTCCACAGCATTTTAGTACAGACAAATGCAATGTTCTGCTTGGCCTGTGCTTATGAAGTGCTCCCTGTTCTTTCCAGTACATTAGGAAGGGCCTTTTGACTACTTATCTTTTTGGAATAAGCCCAAAATTTCTTCCTGGGAAGAGGTATAACTAAAAACATGGTTTAGAGAAAAAAAAACAACCAACCTAAAGGACTAAACTGTTTGTTTATTAAGGTGTGGGGGAGAGAATAAGCCAAGAGTATTCCATGTGACAGTCTAGGCAGGGCTAGGGGGGCTTTTTTTTAATTACTCCTGGTTTTCCCCGAGCACTTGATTATCCATATCCGTGTCCAAATCCAGCCTTAGGGAGTGTCTGTAACCCTGACCTGGAGGGGAGGCTGCACGTGGGACTTTCCACGGGAGTTCCCCGGGTCTCTCGGTGGCAATCTGTCACAGTGTCCAGCAATCCATGTGTCCTGGGGACTGACCACCAGGAATTCTGTGTGTCCCCTGCAGGTTTGGCTTTGGATTCACCCGGCCCTGCGACCTCTGGCGACCCCGTGGAGGACACGTATGTAACCACATGTTAGACCCGACTTGGGCGCGCTGGATCAGCAACAAACGGGGCTTGATGAGGCCCTGGCGAGGCTTTGCCTTTGCTGGCACATGTGGGCTCTTCCCTGATGAGCTGGAGGTGCTGGGAACGGTCCTGCCCGTGTCCCAGGGCACCGAGGTGTTGGCTCTGAGCTAAGGTGTGGTACCACACACCTCACCAGGAGCCTGAGGCTGCACCAAGTTGCAGTTTATAGCACTTAAATTGTGCTTTTCTGTGCCTTAACTGGTCACAGAATCCCAGAATCATTTAAGTTGGAGAAAACCTCTAAGATCATCAAGTCCAACCTTTGACCCGTCACCACCTTGTCAGGTAGAACTGATGCCAGCAGTTACCCTGAGCTTTGAGCTTGCCACTCCCAACTGGATTATTTCTTCCCCCTAATCTATTCCCAGGGCTGGGGACAGATGCCCTTGGTCCCTGATTTACCATGCCTTTCCTCCTTCAGCCTCACTTCTTGTCTGAACAGTGCTGGAAAGAATTTAGGGGAAGGAGGGGAGAAGGAGTCTTTGAGTGTTTCAAAAATCAGGATGGGATAGCCTGGCTATAAATAGGGTTTGGGAGAGACAAGTGTCATTAAGAAGCAGGTTGCCCAAAGCAGCTGTGGCTGCCCCACCCCTGGAAGTGTCCAAGGCCAGGTTGGATGGGGCTTGGAGCAACCTGGGCTGGTGGAAGGTGTCCCTGCCCATGGCAAGGGGTGGGAATGGATGCTCCTTAAGATCCCTTCAAACCCAAACCATCCTGGGATTCTGTGTTGGCTTGTGCTTGGCATAACCCCTAAATATAGGGCTGACTTTTAATGTGCATCTCTCTTGCTTTTAGGTTTGAGAAAGCAATTCTCAAATCCAGCAGACTGAAGTGAGTACAATTCTATTTTAAACTCTTAGTGTCTGCTGTAGCTTATGGAGTTGGGGGGGGTGAGTTTTAGTCATGTCTTTTAAAACAAAATGTTGAAATAAATCTCTGTTCTTTCTCCCTGCAGCCTTCGAATACCTTTCAGGAGAATACACTCCCTGCCAGTAAGTGAGAGTGGTGCTGATGGTCTGCAAATGCTAAAGGATTTAGCATGTTCCTAGTTGAATACATTGCCTAACTTGCTAATTTTCTGGCTGCTTAATGCAAGCTGTCAGAATTGCAGCTTGTACATTCTAAATCTCACTCAAGTCCCCGTGAAATCTCCGTGGTGTGGCTCCATCACTGCTGCAGTGGAAGCATTTTGGTACCTGTGCTGAGGTGTCAGCAAAGTTTCCTGCACAAATTCATAGTCAGAGACTTTACAGTCTTTATTAACCCCTTGTGTGCTTAAAAATGTGCTTTTTGCACAGTACTGAACTGGCATTTTTGTGTGGTCATTGTAGCAAAATCTGCTGGGATCCAGCCCTGCCCTGAAGAGAAGCCATTCAGATTCTCTGGACAGTGATGCTTTCCAGCCACTGGCACAAGATGAAAATAAGGAAAATGTAAGTGATTAGAGATTAATAAAAGTTGGGAAGACTTTGAATGTGCAGCTCCACCACTAACCCTGACTCCTTTCTGGCTGGGGCAAGGGAGGAGGTGTTCTCTCTGCTTGCTCTAGAGAATTCCAAGGGCTGCCTCCAGGAAGCTGTTTAGGTGGATCAACCCCTCTCATCCCACTGCTGCCATGGATTCCTCGTGGAATCAATGTCCTTTGGCTGCTGGGAATCCCGTGGGTGGGACTCTGACAGGCCTGCAGGAGAGGACACAGCCTTGGCTGCCTTCAAAAATGATGTATTTTGCAGAGAAGCTGACTGACAGGGATAGAAAAGCCTTCAGCCTGTGGGTGATGTCAGGAACATAAATTTTGGATTATGTTAAATGAAACACTTGTAACATCTTTCATTTGCAAACATTCACCTTCAGACTGTTCCTGTTGGCAGCAGGGAGCTTAAATCCAAAATGTCAGGTAGTTTTAAAAAAGCCCTGTAGGGATAAAATGATCCAAGCAACCCACACAGTTTGTCATTCTGGTAAAATGTTTGTTTTCTTCCTTTTTAATTCAGGAATCATTTGAGTTTAAGAAGCCAACCAAACCAGCTTCTCGTTGCTTCCGTGATGGAAGGGCTGGAGCGAGGCAGAATTCATCTCCAGCTCAGATTGTAAGTTCTTTTAAACTAATTCTCACCTAATTCCTTGCTGCCCACTCTCTGGGAGGAAGACAAATTGTGTCAGGGTTCAAGGGCAGTACTGTCAGTCACCACTGCTCAGGTGCCAAATAGAAAGACTTATTTATCTGCCAGATAAGAAAATTTTTCTCACCTTTGGCTCCTGAAATGGTCAGAAATTTGAAATGTGGATTGTTCTGGGGAGGATGAGTCAGTGCAGAGCTGAGGTTCTGCTGCAGTAATCGAAGGGAGTGTGGGCACTGATGTGGAATTGGAATTGATTTCACTGTCACTTATGTTGAGGCTGATGCATTTGGAACAACAACCCCAGCTGTGCAGAAAAAGCCTGATTTTGTGTCCAGATGTGACACCCAGGGAGAAAATGTTGCCTTATTTGTGTCCTGTTGCCTTATTTGTGTCCTGTTGCTTAGAAAAAGCAACTGAAAAGCCATGATGGGTCCTTGCACAGAAACAGGGTGGGGGGCCAAGTCTTACCTCCACTCCTTGAGTCTGGCACCCCTCATCCTGCCAAGTCCTCTCTGTCCTGTTTGCTCCACATGAAGGAATAACCTCGGTGTTCCCTGCGGTGCAGGAAGGTCGTGGCATCAGCTCTGGGAAGAGAAGGAATGTCGTTAAAATTAGAACTGTCTCCTCTCAGATTCCCATGGATGAAACACCCTCGGGTGAGCAGGAGAACTACAGGCCAGCCTTCCTGCAGCAGCATTCCCTGACCTCGGAAAGCGAGGATGACGACGGCTTCCTGGAGCTGCTGGATGACCAGGATCTGAAGGTATGTGCAAAGGGAATGGGGTGGAGATCCCAAATACGGTCCTACCTGATGCTGCTACGTGTGTCTGTGGTGCAGGTGTGTTCTGGCAGAAGTCAGTGTGCTCAGTCAAACTGCAATAAGTTTAGGGAATCGTGGAATCCCGGAGTGGTTTGGGTTGGAAGGAACCTCAAAGACCATCCAGTTCCAGCCCCCTGCCATGTGCAGGGACACCTCCCACTAGGAGATGAGGTATCATCATCTTTTTCAACTCACACTGTGGTATCCCTGTCTTATCCCTGCTCTTTCCTGGTGCAGACAGTGGGATTTGTCTGGTGTGTGAACGAGGAAGCTATTTTTAGCTGGAGAACTGCATTACGAGAGAGAATTATTGGAACAGTTGGCATTTTCCTTTAGAAACTTGCTGGAAAACTCGGAGGTGGTGTTTGCTTTGCAGCCACTTAAATAGAGAACTGTTTCCAACTGAATTGGAGACGCTTAAAGCTCTGGAGGATCATCACTGTTGATGCATCAATGAGCTGCTATAACTCCAGCGTGTCTCAGCTCGGGTCTGTTGTTTCGTCGAGCATTGGCCTGATAAGGGAGTTAAATTCCTAAAGGTGCCCTGGCAGCTGAACCCAGCTGGAATGTTTGCCCCAGCTGTGCAGGAGCTGTGTGTACAGCCTGTGGGGCAGTAGGTGGGATGACCCTCCTTTCTTTCCCCCTCAGAACGACGAGGAGGTGCCGTCGGACGTGGCGAGTCTCTGGACGGCGCCGCTGGTCATGAGGAGAGCGGACAATCGGGTGAGTGTTCCCAGCACACAGACTGGCCTGTGTCCTGGCACTTCCACTGCCCAGACAAGCGATCCCACTGTCTCCTGGATCCCTAAGGACAACAACAAAACAAGCTGTGGCATGACCCCCTGCAGTATTCCCTTATCTCTGAAACTGTTTGCCTGGAAGACTTTGTCAGTCTGGAACACTTGTAGGCATTACATTTCTTTTTACACTTCACAAGCTGTGAGAAAATCTTGACTTCCCTTATCAGAATCTTGTTGGCATATCTGGAATTCGCCCTGCACAGGCTCACCTGGAATGCTGATCCCCTGATAAGGGACTGGGAAGGGAGTTTAGACTCCAGTAAGAAGCTCCTTGATCTGCTGATAGATTGGCTGCTAATTGGTGCAGAGCACTTGATGTTGATTGGGGTGCTCCAAGCTCCCCCAGTCCCCCCAGTAGCAAGTGTTACTGGAAATGCAAAGCCTGAATAATTCCAATTACCATCCCACAGTTGCTGTGCAGTGGTGGTGTCTTAAACGAGGTAAAATCCGTAACAGTCTGTAATCCTGAGGCTTGTTGATTTTCCAAGCCAAACCTCTGCTGGAGAACTCAACTGCTCTCCTTCCTCGCAGGCCAAACGGTGCCGCTTGTTTGGCTCTTCATCCGTGTCCAGCATTGCAGGAAGAACCACCCAGAAGAGGATGGAGAGATCCCAGGAAGACAGTTCCCCAGGGAAAAGCAAGAAGAGGAAAAGCCTGCCTGGAACTTCCGAGGACCCAACGGTTGGTGACTCAGCATCCAGTTTGCAAGGGAGAACTGACTGGGGGGGTCTGGTATTGGTGCCTGGGTTATGAAGGTCAACGGGAGCTTTTTTTGGCTGAAAAGTGAGATTTGGGGGAGCTGGGGCAGCACTTGCAGATCCTGAGCCTGAGCTTTGCCCTAGAACAGCAGGGAAGCTGAGGAGTGGGAATTCAGAGCTCTGGAGTCAAGTCTGAGTTCTGTGTTATGGGAAATAGGGAATGGGATGTGTCTGCTGGCAGTGCTGATCTCTGCCCTGTGTCCTCCAGAGTGTGAAACTGGTGAGGACCCAACCCTCCCCAGCAGAGATCGAGAGCATTTTGGACAGTGACCAGAGAGACCTGATTGGGGACTTCTCCAAGGTAATTCCAGGGATTCCATGGCCGGGGGTGTGCTGGAGTGTTCCAATGGCCTCTCCCAGTGGGGATGGCTCAAACCAGCCCAGTAAAGCCCCTCCCTTTGCAGAGGCTTTTCTGCTGCTACATAAATCTTGCATGGTTGGACTTGAAGGTTGGGCTTGATGATCTTGGAGGTCTTCTCCAACCTTAACCATTCTATGGTCCTCAGACAACTAGGAGAGGCTGTTGGTGAGAAGGGACAGGTTAGACACAAAGTGATTAATCTGTGGTTAAAGACCTACAAAATCCCTCTGGTGCAGGAGCCAAAAATTAAATTCTGTCCCTGACTTTAGAATTCTTGGTCTTAACTCCTGAAGAGATTCTTGTCATCAAAGTATCTGTCAGAGAATGAACTGCTGAATGCTGTGACTCACATCTGGATTCTCTCCATCCTCTCTGTCTTAGAGTTATTTACTTGACACTGTTGATGGGAAACATCAGGATTTAAAATACATCGACTCAGAAATGGTGAGTGCTCCAAGGAGAGGCAGGAAAATCCTTTACTGGGGTTTAGGGGACAACACAAAAGCATCTTGAAACTACTGACCTCTGTTTTTTTGTGTTTTTTTTTTTTTTTTTTTCTCAGATTGTGTCTGTGCTGACTGGGAAGTTTGAGAGCTTCATCAAGCAATGTGTGATAATGGACTGCAGATACCCCTACGAGTACGAAGGAGGGCACATCAAGGTATGTTGACCCTGTAAGAGCAACCCAGAGGGGTCTGTAGTTGCAGTATGGGGTCACTTGGCCCCACGTGGGGCTGGCTTTTATCCAAGGCCATGTGGATATGTTATTCCTGAGGTGCCCCACTGGGACCCTGTCCCACCCACCCACTGCCTGGATCTTGGACACTGAGCTCACACTTGGTTCATAAAGTGCCTTTTCCCCTCAGAGGGGAGTGTTCTGCCCTCCTTAAGCACAGGAGGGGGCCTGTGTGGCCCTCAGGGGGATGGTTCCAGAGGAAGGATGTAAGACACTCAGTGTGCAAGATCCTGGTATCCAGGGAAGCTAAAATTGGAATATTAAAACTTAATTTAAATCACAGACTTCAAAGAACAGAGGGCTGTGCAAAACATAACCAGGAACAGATCACCCAGAGAGGATGTGGCCTTAGAGCCCCCCCTTCCAGGGCCTAAAGGGGCTCCAGGAGAGCTGGAGAGGGACTGGGGACAAGGGATGGAGGGACAGGACACAGGGAATGGCTTCTCACTGCCAGAGGGCAGGGTTAGATGGGATATTGGGAAAGAATTCCTCCCTGTGAGGGTGGAGAGGCCCTGGCACAGGTTGCCCAGAGAAACTGTGGCTGCCCCTGGATCCCTGGAAGTGTCCAAAGCCCAGTTGGAGCAACCTGGGCTAGTGGGAGGTGTTCCTGCCCATGGCAGGGGTGGAATGGGATGATCCTGAAGGTCCCTTCAGACCCAAACCATTCTGGGATTCTGTAACTGATCCTGGACGTTGCTGCTTGATCAAAGACCATCCCAAATACATGAGGTGGGGAGGGAAATCCCAGGAGCCACAGCCTGCAGGTGCTGAATTGTCCATCTGAACCAGGTCGTGGTCACTCAGTGCCAGTCCCAGGCTCTGTGGTGTGCTGGTGGGGTTTGGAGCTGGGTTTGGAGAGGGCTCCTCCAGCAAACCAAGGGGAGGAAACTGCCCTCAAGGGAGCGGGATAAGTTTGTTCAGTTCCCCCTGCCCTCACAGGGTGCCATAAACCTCCACATGGAAGAGGACGTGGAGAACTACCTGCTGAAGCAGCCGATCGAGCCGGCGGAGAACAAGCGGGTCATCGTGGTGTTCTACTGCGAGTTCTCCTCGGAGCGGGGCCCTCGGATGTGAGTGCTCAGCCCCTGGAGAAGGACCTGCTGCAGTGCTGGGAGGGGAGCTGTGGGGGTGGCACCCCCAGGACATGGGGATTGTCACCTGGCGGGGCTGTGGCACAGCCCGTGGTGGGCTCGGCTGGAGCGCCGGTGTGTTCGGAGGGAAAGGGAAAACCCGGTTCACTGTGGCTGTGTGGGTCCTCAGCCCCTTCCTGACAGGCAGCAGCAGACCCCTGTGGTCCCAGGGACGGGGAGTCTGGGGTGAGAGCTGGCTTTGGGGGTTGTTTGTGGAATGCACGGTTCACCGGGATCTCTCGTGCTGCAGGTGCCGGTTCGTGCGGGAGCAGGACAGGCTGAGCAACGAGTACCCCAGCCTGCACTACCCAGAGCTCTACGTGCTCAAGGGGGGCTACAAGGATTTCTTCTCGAGATGCAGGGTAAGGAACTTCCTCCCAGACTGTGGATTCCCCATCCCTGGAAGTGTTCAGGGCTTGGAGCAGCCCAATCTAGTGGAAGGTGTCCCAGCCCCTGGCAGGGGGTGGAACAAGATCTTGAAGGTCCTTTCCAACCCATGATTGTTCTTTGATCTCCTTCACACTCAGGAGAAGTGGTAGATAAGTGTTATTGATTTGTTCATGCTCAGACTTGTCATTGGGGCCGAGTGGCTTGGCTGGGGTGGCTTCTCTGCTCTCTCTGTGCTCTGTTCCCAGAGCAGCTCAGGTTTGGCTCTCTGAGCCTGTTCCTTCCCTCAGAGCTGTTTTCCTGCCATAGCTGAAAGGTTTTTCCACTTGTCTCAGAGGCAAAATATAAAAGTGGTTTCTGCCCTTGTAGAACAAACTGTCACTGAGGGAAGGGACTGAAGGCTGCTCAGCTTGCCCAGAGCAGGGGAGAAGACAAGGCTTGACAGCAATTGCTGGATAACAAATGGAAACCTCAGGTCTCCTGCAGTCCTGAAACAGCAAAATTGGAAACCTGAGCTTGGAGTTTACAATCTCTAATTCAGAAAAGGAAACTAAGAACACCCCACAGCTCTTCCCAGCACTTTGAGGGTGGGATTTCTCCTACCACTTGGCTTTTGCTCCTGCAGCATTTCCATGGCTGGACTCTCTCCAGTGCTCCTGGGGTCTGTCCTGCTGCTCTGGCACAAACAGGCCATGGCCTGACTGTCACCTCAGTCCCTCACACTTCAGAGTATCCCTTAGATTGCCTTCCTGGTGCGTTTTCAGGGAGATGGGAGATACCTGGCCTGTCTGTGGCCAGTTGGATGGGGTTGCCAGCTCCTCCCTGCTGGGTTGTTGGGCCCTGTGGGAGATGCTGGTGCTGGTGGCACCGAGTGCTGCCCAGGTGTTTAGCCCTCCCTGCGATCTGCTGGCTCCCCGGGGGTGATGGACACGTGGGATTTGGGTTGTCCCTGTCCCGGGGAGGGGTGGCAGAGGCCTCAAGGTGGCAGCACGGAACAGCCGACGGGGCTCCGCGATCCAGAGGCACGGGGATCCTTCCAGTCCCTGCCTCCCGGGGTGAACACCACACAGCTGGCGTGGTGGTGCCTGCCAGAGCATTTGGGATGAGAGCCCTGTGCCCAGGGTTTGGTAGCTGTAATCTGAATATCCCTGGGCTCTGAGCGTGGAGCTCCCATGTGGAGCGGGGGGTCCGTCCCTCTTCGTTCCAAGGGTGGTTGTTGCAGTGGCTGCTGCCAGGCTCTGTCAGTGGGATCCTCAGCCCTGTGACACCGAGGTGACAGCAGCTCCTCTCTCCCCAGAGCTTCTGTGAGCCCGAGAGCTACCGCCCGATGCACCACAAGGACTTTAAGGAGGACCTGAAGCGGTTCCGCACCAAGAGCCGGACCTGGGCTGGGGAGAAGAGCAAGAGGGAGATGTACAGTCGCCTGAAGAAGCTCTGAGGGCTGCGGGGACCCAGCACGGACTGTCCAGCGTGGGGGGCCTGTCCTGCCTCTCTCCTCCTCTGTTTGCTCCCTGGGAACTCCTGGAACTCGGGGCTTCGGGCCCGGATCCGGCCGGGAGCTGCCTTTGGTTATTTTTGTTACATTGCTTCCTGAAAAATGGCTTCTTGTGTTCTGTGCCACCCCCAGAGCGCCCGGGGAGGGGTGGGGAGAGACCCGTGGGGCAGCAGTGTTGAGGGTGTTTTAGTGCCTGTTATTTTTTTAAATGCTCGATTTTATTTAAATACAGTCAAATGAAGCCAATACTGCGGTTGTTGGATCATCTGGGTTCTACTCAGACCTGGTTTCTGCCCCAGGGCATCCTGCTGGTGGAGGGGTGGGGGTTAATTATTGTACTCAGCTGCAGCTTTGGTTCCGTGTAGTGTTTGTGGTGAAGGAAAATGGGAAATGTCCCGTTACAGCCCGAGGTTCCCACCTCTAGGCCTTTGAAAGCCCATCTAAGGGGAATTGCTTGTTCATAAATATCATGTTCACCTCGTTTACTTCAAATTGTTTTATTTCATAGTCTCTCTGTGTAGTTTTAGAGGAGTTGGTGTTTTAAAGGAGGGAGAATTTCTGGGGGTCAGCAGTGGGGTGAAAAGCTGTTGATTTGCTGTCGCCGCTGCCTCCGAGGGTGTGAGTTGTTATCCTGAAACATTCCCAGAACAGAGAGTGAGGAATCCTGGGAGGCTGCTCCTACACCCAGGGGTGACTGTGGCCACTTCTCCCTCTGCCAGGAAAGGGCAGGAAGTAAATTAATCCTTGAAGGAAGAGGAACTTCCTCGGCAGCGTTGGGCCCTACAGCTGCGGAAGTTCTGCTGTGCCAGCCCCAAAACTGCTTGGCTGCTGATTTTTGGGGTCCCATCAGCCCCAACTCTCCAGTCCTGCAGCAGCCCAGGGATTTTGGGGTGTGATGGAGCTGGAGCTCATCTTCCTCACACACCAACTTCCTGGAGAAACTGGTGCTCCTTGGGAGCACCACGTGCCTGGGAAGCTCCCAGCCCTCCTCTCGTGTCCTGTTTGTATCCGTGTCAAAAAAGTATTGAAATGGAGGTGCCTTATGTGGAGTTCTAACTTGATTTTCTTTGAAAGTCTGTTTCTTAAAACGTTGTTTGTTAATCCTCTTGAGAAGCAAAAGGGTAGACTTGGAGTTTTTTCTCGTTTAAAAAAAAAATAAATCGGAATTTGCTGTTTTCCCTCAAAGCTGAAGCCCTCGAAGGGGGAGATGAGGAAATGCTAAATCAGAAATGGTGGTTACAAAATTTCTCCCTTTGGGAAATTTGGGAGGGCTGAACTCCTGAGTGGGGGATGTGGGGTGGGAGGAGGCCACGGGCAGTGACCTGAGTGACCCAACCTGCTCTTTGGTCAAGCCCAGGGGGTAAATCATCAGTTCCACACGAGGGCTGGGCAGGATCTCTTGGTACAACTCCATGATCCAACAGTTTCTCCACGTGAGAGTTTAACTCCTCAGAAAAAGCGGATGGAGGCTTGCTGGGGTCATGATGCTCATTTCTGAGGACACTCAGCTGGAGCAAAACTATTACAGCAATCCCTGCTGTGCAGCTGCACTTCCCCTGGATCTGCTCATCATCCCAAACTTCCTGCTATTCAGGAAGCTGGATCTGGGGCGGGTGCTGGGGCTGTGCCCAGCAGTACTGGGGGATGAGCAGAGATTGGGAATGATGGTGGTGCCAAATTTTGCCCCAAAAGGCACAGAGAAACTGCTCAGAGCCAGAGTTTTAGTCTTTAAGCAGCGAGGTATTTATTCAAGGCAACGCTGGAGAGCAGCCAGCTCACGCTGGACAAACTGCTCTGCCCCTTCAGTGAAAAGACAGGATTATATACAGTTTTTACAAGTGATTACAACATTTTCACGTGCATATTCATATAATTGCAACATCTAGTTATAATATTCATAATAGGCGGAGTCTGGGGCGGAGTCTGGGGTGGAGTCCTCTTTTTGGGGTGATGTTTGGTGGTCGTTCCTGTTTCTTCAGCCTCGCGGGGTCGCATTTTTACTCTTCTTCCTCGGCTGAACTTTTCAACTGGAGCCCTGTGGGGATGGAAATGAGCCCCTGGTGTCAGAGCCCACCTTGCTCTGTGGGTCGGGAGTCCTGAGGTGGGAGAAGGCTGGGAGAGGGGTGCTCCAGGCAGGATCTGCACTGTGTCATCCCAGAGCTTAAGGGATTGTTGTGGGCAAAGGGAATAAGGTCCTAAAAACCCAAACAGTTTGAATCCAGCTGTTTCTGCAGCAGAGGCACCGGTGAAGCTGCTCCGTGTCACTGCAGTGTCAGAACCAGCCCAGGGTGGGGGCTGCTGCTTTTCATGTCCTGTGTCTTTGATTGTGGCTTGCAGGAGAAACACTTCCAGAGAAACTGTGGCTGCTCCATCCCTGGAAGTGTCCAAGGCCAGGTTGGACGGGGCTTGGAGCAACCTGGGCTGGTGGGAGGTGTCCCTGCCCATGGCAGGGGTGGCACTGGTTGGGCTTTAAGGTCCCTTCCCACCCAAACCATTCTGGGATTCTGTGAACTCCAGGGCTGCAGCCACCTGAATGTCAGAGCTGGGCATTCCCATCACTCCATGTTCGTTGTGGAGTCTCAGCTCACTTTGGGATGAGGGTCCTGGGCTGTGCTGGAGGCTTTCCCAGGGCTGGGAAGAGCTTCAGCAGAGCGTGGGGGTGACGAGCAGGTGGCCAACAATGGGGTCAGCATTAAAAGCTTCCCTGAAAACACAGCAATGTGACTCCAAATCCACGGGAGGCTCAAGCAGAGAACTGGGTGGGTTTTTTTTTCCCTTCCCTCCATCTGTCATCCTTAAAACTCGTTTTGAAAGCAGCTTAAACCTTCATCAGCTTTGACCACCAGCTCCTGAATGGCACAAAGGTTGGTGTTTTCTTGCACGTTGTGTTACCTTTGGTGGCCTAAAGGGACTCTTGTGCTCTGTCTTTTGTGGCATTTGGGGCTAATAAAGGCCAACTGCAAAGGGCCAGCTGCCCTGCTGTGCCAGCAGCTCCTGGATCCCTTGGATTCCCTTGGGAATTGGCAGTTGGACATCCCTCCAGTGCTGCCTGGCTGTGGTGTTTGGTGCTGCCCTAACCAGCCAATTCCTTGCTTTTAATTCCTTTTGCAGCTTTTCAAACAAATCTGCCTTTGCCCTTGGCTGCTGCCCTTGGGGTGTGAGGCAGCAGGGAATGGGCAGGGGCTGCACCACCAGGGTCCTCCTCACCCAAAATTCTCCCCTTGGGGCGCAGCAGGAGGGGAGGAAGGGCAGGTGGGCACAGGGGGGTGGCAGCCCCAGAGGTGCCTCCCTGTCCCATCCAGGCTTCACCCCTCAGCTTCACCTCCTGCCACGGGGCCACGTGTGTGTTCTTGGAGACCCTCAGGCACTTCTGGAGAAGGGATGTGACCGAGACCCCCACAGGGGTCTGCCCTGGGGGCCTGATGTGCTTTTGGGGTCCCAGCCCCAGCCAGGCTGTGCTGGCCCAGGGCGGGTGTGCTGCAGACAGGCCGGGGCTGTTGCTGTTGGATGAACTCTCCAGTCATGTTTGCTGGGGCTCAAGGCTCGAGCAAGGAGCCATAAAAAGGGAGGATAACATCAGAAGAGGAAAGTGGAAGGAGGCCAAGAGGAACGTGGCCAAGTGCCCTTTCCTTCTTTCTCTTTCGCTCTGTGCGGGAACCCCCGAGAGTGTGGGATGTGTCACATCCCTGTGCCAGGCCGGGCATGGCCCCACCACCACGGGGACACACGAGAGGAATGTCCCTGGCGGGGATTTGGGGGTCCCGGGGGGGCAGGGAATGGAGGGAGGCTGAGCTGGGGGAGAGGGGCCCAGGGGAAGAGCTCCTGTACGGATGGAGCTGCAGCTCCCGCTCCACCTCGGGGCACATCCACGTGGGGTGGCTTCTGTCGCCGCGTTTGGGGGCACGGGAGGGCGGGTTGGGGTAGGAAGAGCCCCGTGGCTGCATCCCGGGTGTCTCCACGGAAGGAATTAAGCAGGGCGGGGCAGGAGACGGCGGCGGGAGGAGCGGAGTGTGTGCGGACATCCCGCGGGCGGCTGGACCGGCCTCTGCCAACCCCTGCCAGGGCCACGGGGAGGGACAACCCCGGCTCCGAGAGGGCACAACCCCGGCTCCGGGAAGGGACAACCCCGGCTCTGAGAGGGGACACCCCCGGCTCCGGGAGAGGACACCCCCGGCTCCGGGAAGGGACAACCCCGGCTCTGGGAGGGGACACCCCCGGCTCCGCGCTGTTTGTCCCTGCAACCCCCTCAGCGGGATTCCCGCCCCGGGAATTCCGTGCCATGGCTCAGCACACCCCCCCGATCGAGCCCCGGTGCCGATGGAGGGTTGGGCAGCGGGGCTGACCCCGGGGATGCCCTGGCAGCTCCCCCACAGGTGACCCCCGGGGGCCGGTGGAGGCTCCCCAGGAGCTGCTCCCCTTCCTGGGCACAGGCTCCCCGTGCCAGGGGAGGGCCGTGGCCCATCCCGAGGGTCCCGTGCCCTGGGGGAGGGCAGCGGGGGTGCCGGGTTTGCGGGGGTGCCCTGGGAACAGCCCCGGGGCCGCGCTGACGGGGGATGATGCAGCAGCACAGTCCCGGCCCGTGGCACCGCCGGGCCGTAATTAGCAGGTGCCAGCGCTGCTGGGGTTTGGCCCTGGTTCAGCCCTGCTTTGCCTCTGCTTCCTCCCACCCTCCTCCTCCTCTGTGGGGCTGAGCAGTCCCGCGGGCACAGCGGAGCCCACGCGGGTCCCAGGCCAGGCCCCCCCAGAGCCCGTGTCCCGCAGGCTGAGGAGCAGAGCTGTGCTCCGGGAGGCAGCACGGCGAGGCTTTCAAACCCACTGAACCAGTTTGGTGGGTGTGAGGTCCGTGGGGGAGCCCTGTGCTCGTGGGAACTCTCTGGGCATCACCACCGTCCCAGGAAACGCGGGGTCTGCCCTTGCAGAGCAGCCACAAGTGAATTTGGGGCTGTGTTTGGGGCTTTCCCGGGTGCAGAGCAGGGGTTTTGCATGTGGAGGGGATGAGTTTGGTCCTGGTTGTTCCCCTGTTGCTGCAGGAGGTGGGGTGCTGACACAAGTTCCACACTGGGAACAACAGGTCACATCCCTCCCAGCCCCACAAACTGCAGCCCCCTGGGCTGCTCCTCTCCCCTCCATCAGATGTGTCTGGAATTGGGTGAGAAGTCTGAGCATTGACCTGTTGGAGTGAGTCCAGAGGAGGCCACCAAGATGAACAGAGGGATGGAACCCTTTCCTGCGAGGAAAGGTGAGGGAATGCCTCACCACCCTCACAGGGAAGAATCTCCTCCCAATGTCTAATCTAAATCTACCCTTCTTTAGCTTAAATCCATTTCCCCTTGTCCTGTCTCTCCAGGTCCTTGTCCCCAGTCCCTCTCCAGCTCTCCTGGAGCCCCTTTAGGCCCTGCCAGGGGCTCTCAGCTCTCCCTGGAGCCTTCTCTTTTCCAGGGGAACCCCCCCAGCCCTCCCAGCCTGGCTCCAGAGCAGAGGGCTCTCCTCTCTTCCACCTTTTCTTGTCAGAAAGCAGCAGGACCTGCTCCTGCCTTGGGCAGGGAAGGAGAGATCACCAGGGCAGAGGCATCACTTCCAGCACCTCCTGGATGGCCTGGAGTCCTCTGTGGCTGGCAGAGAGCTCCGAGCCTGGTGCTCTCCAGGGGTACGTGCACACCCCCACACACCCACACTGCAGCTGTGCACAGATGTCTCTTGGACCCCGCTGAGGGTGTTTATTCCTATTTCCAGCTGCTCCCAGCTGACCTTTTGGCTGGCTCTGGTGCTGGTGGGGCTGTTGGAGTCATTCATTCACAATCTGGTTTTTGTCAAGAGCTGTGATTCAGCAAACCTCTGCCCCAGCGTCCTGGGGGCAGGGGGTGCCAGGGTCTCTCCACTCACTGCTCCCACTCCGCAGCCAGGGCCCGTTCCCAAGGGATTTCACCCCAAACTCGCATCGGGCAAGACCCGATCTGCCATTTCACCCGACTTTTGTGCCATCAGCCGGCCCTGCCGCGGCGTCGGAAGCGGAGCGGGGACAGCTCCGGGTCCACCTGCTCGGCGGGCGGAGCCGCGACGAGAGCCCGGAGCGGGGCCGGGGAGCGGGGCATTGGCACCGTCTGCAGCAGCGGCAGCTGTTGGCGAAACGGACGTGTGTCCGTGGCCTAGGAGACCGTCTCT